CCTAACTGTCAGTATTGCCCATAAATTACTGCTTGGTCATTAATGAGTCCTTTTTTGTAAATGACAAAACCATTAAACTGTGCCAAAGCAATGTCGTCTCAATAACAACCCCTTACTAAGATAAGTTTATAGTTGCTCAGACTTGTTATCTATAAAAAAGAATTCAAACCATTTGTTATTTGAGAAGCCTAGTTGTTAAGAAAATTTATTCAAAAAAAAGAATTGGAGAGGAAAAACTGTAGATTGATGCACTCAAATAAAGATAATTATTAGAGAATAATTGAAATATCAAGTGCAAAAATATATCAAATTACATATATACCACAAAGTATGAAAGAATTTTTTTAAAATTGAATAAAACCCGAATAGAAAGCATTACCTTGCTACCACGTTGAAAGAACAAGAAGCCCAGTATATCTACTCGCTGACGCGGGTGATGTTGCTCCCCAAGAATTAACCTTACAGTTTCTACATTCTTAGCATCTCTAAAACAAGAACGGTCCGTTTACACACAATCACCGAAAAGGAAGATCTTTGCCCCCACTGCGTTTCCAGGACGGGGTTGTGGACAGTTCACATGAGTGGAAATATTCACAAAGTACATCGACAATGAGGCGATCACAACGCGTAAAATTCTATTCCCAATCTGCATCAAAGAACTCCGCGTCTTTCATCTCCGTATAGTAGGCCTCCTCCAGAAGCCAATCTTCTTCCTGAATTATTTGTTGCCCCCAAATAGAACAACGATTAGTATAGAGGTGAGTCAAGTGACAGATGAAGCTCAAAGTGCATATAAGAATGTCATTCTTCATTGGGAAGAAAAAAAAATGATCATTGTAACTACCTGAAAGAAGTCGGCTAAAAACACGGCATATATTAAGGGGAGATACAGTGAGTGGTAGCCAATTACACCCAAATCATTTAACCTGCACCGTTAGCCATTCATGCCACGTTAGATAATAGACACTTAGAAGCAATTTTAGATATGCTCGGATGTAAAATTCTAGAAATGAAATATGTGATACCAGAGACCAAAGCCAATCCTAAATCCAGCAAGCCAGGTGGTGTTGCTGGCCTAGCCCAGCTTTGCCACCCGTAGGAAGTGCATCAAAGGGATTAAAGAGATTGAAACAAATAAATGCACCTCTTATTTAGCATGTCAATCACCACCGAGTTGTGCCCTTAGCTATTCTTAATTTGAGAGTTTCTATATGAATTTGATGAAAAAAAATAGAAATGTACCGTAGCCACTGGGCCAATGTTGAGAAAGATGAAGAATTCTTGATTGTACTCCTGCAACGACGACCTTCACCTTTACCTCTCCCTCAAGATGCGTTGTTCCTAAAGGTCTGCCCGTCATCTCTGTTTTCATTCTGGTCGATAGAGTACTCCCTCTCTTTTCCCACTCCGATCTGCGCTGTGTGAAGCGCGGCTTCCAGAAGAAGCCTTCGACAATACCCCTCCTAGAATCCATCACAGTTCCTCCTCTGTCGCCGATGCTCGACCGCCGCTGTGTCGTCACTGCAACCCATCTGATTGAAAAGTCAATCTCCCGTAGTTCTCTCTCTATGTCTGGTTGCCTGGGATGTGCTTTAGGTTTATCTCCGTGTACTCCAAAATGGCGTGCGAAATCCCAGGCCAAAATCACGAGTACTCCAAAGCTTCTCTCGTGTGAAATCCAGACCAAAATTTCGGGCTTTCAAAAGAAAAATATTACCCATATCTTGAAAGTGTTGAAAGAACATTCATGGTTAAGGTTTCATCTTATTTCAACATATGCACGACAGAACAACAAATTTAGTCTTCCCTTGCAAACACTGTCCCTCCACGTCTTTTCCCTTTATATCCAGACGCACTGTCTTGAATATCTGCTAAGAATAATTTACAAATAAAACACCATCTTCAAATTTCCATATCATTGACTTACTCACTTCTTTCACTAAATATGTTCCTTGAAAAAAAATTAGAAACTGAGGTGTCAAATGATTAAAAAATAGAAAGAATTGTACAAACTAAAAGATGTTATACATAAGACCTTACTTCTTAATATTGTCCCTCGTGATCAAAAGATGATAGAATCAGAGTCATGGTGCTGAGAAGGGGTCTGGTATTTGATGAATCACCTGCCATAATGAGAAATTAAATACTTGTTCATGCTCTAGAATTAGAAATTATAAATTCTCTTCAAGGGATTTTGTTGAACACCTTGAGTGCAAACTTTTGTGATAGGATCTAGGATTGATTCAGAACCATTCAAAGCATCAAGGATAGTTGGAATGATATAATGAGCCTGCTCCTGCAGCCATATGGAATTTGCATAAGATTTAAAAAGAAAAACCAAAATGAAGATATCTCTCTACTTCTTGGTATTCTTCATCATCCTTCAACATTATTGTAACATTAATTGCTCATTTGCATTCTCTTCTTCCATAGGTGAAGCTGCTCTTCTATCATTGTATGCTCATATGATCTATGTCCCTTCTTCACTGAAAACACATTAATATAAGTAGAAGTAAGATTTATGGATTTACCAAAGACATCCATTGCAAACAAAATACAAATTGGAATTGGACGGATATGGTAAATTGTTTACGGTATGAAGTTGGAGAACCTTGGTAGAGAAATTGATCGATTGCTTCTATCTTGAGCAATTAGTATAGAACCTTGGTGGAGAAGATTCAGCTAATGCTTCACTGTGAACTTCATTAGTGTGCATTTTGGCCTAAAGTGATCGCCAATTGATGGACTGGTCGGATCCAAGAGAAGCTATTTCCATTTCTGTGCCAAACCTAACTGTCAGTATTGCCCATAAATTACTGCTTGGTCATTAATGAGTCCTTTTTTGTAAATGACAAAACCATTAAACT